GGTAAATCCAGCTGCTTATTTCCCAGCTGTGTCTTTTGTGTGTGTGTGTCCGTGCAAAGAGGTAATGTCGCAGTTTTAAAGCAACTTTTTCACAGTCATTAAAAATTGCCACATAAGTGCTCCAGTCTGTCTTACAGATGATTATGTCATCCACATATTTTGCAAACCATGAGTGCAAATAGCTTTAAATTATGCATCGCCGTCCGTTTGTGGAAGCTGCAACAAAACAATAACAAAAGAATCTCCAACAACCAACAGTCTATTAAACCCTTTTATATGGGAGTGTTTGCAGTTAGCAGGGCTTTCTCTCTCATACACTCCCATGGCACAAATACGCTCTCACATACAGGCTCGCTTTATCTCTATGAGCCTTAGAGAGCTTTTTTATTGTCATTGTGCAGTTTCTTGCACAGCGAAATTGGGTAGCTGGACCACAAAGGTGCTAAAGTAAGAAGAAGAGCCTTCTAGACACAGAATTTAACCATCTCCCCTCCCATGTTGTTGCGAGCCCGTGTCACAACCTCAGCAATGAAGCTCTGACATGTCCTTCAGCCCTGCGCTTGTCTTTCCTGCTGTCCTTCCACCCCATAGCTCTGTGTCCTCTTCTCTCGATACCTGACCTGTGTCTTTCCCACAGCAGTCCAAGTCCACTCTGCCTCTGGCCTCTCTTTCCTTGAGCTCTGACTCTCCCCTGCATACAAAGCTATGCGAAGTTATCATTCAGTAAGCGGCACCTCCCTGTCTTCTCCCCTCTCGCTTGCGTCTCAGGTTCGATGAAGCCATCTTTCATGCAGTCTGAGATGTTTTTCAATGTTCTCGACTCTCTCCCTTCAGCCACTGGATGCACTGGCTTCATAGACTACACTGGAACTGCACTTTATGCTTTCTTCTTCTTCCTGCTGCTTTTACCAGGTTCTCCTTCACAGTTCCTCCTTTTACTTCTCATACCTGTAAAATTCTGCATGAGCATCACATGATGTTTGCAGTGCTACACCAATAAATTTACTTTCTGTACACCATTTTTTCACTTTATGTGCATATTGCTTTCTGTTAAATGAACATATTTTAGGTGCTTCTCTCAAAGCTTATTTACCAAATGATTTAAAATAGCAGCTAAACAGCGTCCAGGTTCAGATAATGCTGTTTTACAGCCGCTGGCTCTTGCATTCCTCTCCTGACCTCCTCACCTTTCTCTCTCCTGCTCCAGGAGGTTGGTGAAGTCGTCGCTCTTGTTCATGTAGTCGGCGTGCTTCCTCTTCTCCGTGTCCAGCTCGTGGATCGTTCGCCGGTGGGACTTTTCTGCGAGCAGCAGCTGACCCAGCATCCGCCGGTACGCCTCCTTGTGCTTCTCCTGCAGACGCTCCAGCTGAGACGAACACACACAGAAACAAATAATTCCAGTTGCTGTGGTGCAACATGCCGAGTGTTTTGTAGCAACAACCTCCTGCCAGTCGGTGACAAAAACATTACTTTTATTAGTTTCTGTCTTGTGATTTCTTGGATTTCGAGGGTCTTGAGGCCTGTTAATAAAAAAGTAATTTTGATCATGCCTCAGGGTTTGTGACTGACACTCGCCTACTCACCTCAGCCATCGGTTTCTGGTAGACACTGTGGTTGTGTGGTTTGGTGCCTGTGATGACGCCGTCTCTCTGGAGGGCCTGGAGGGCCGAGCCAGGGACCGCGGAGCCGTACTGCGACTCAAGGGCTTCTGGGGAACTGTGTTTGGACTTCAGCATGCAGATAACATCCTCTCGGGCCTGAAGTTACACAGAAATGATGCAGAGGGAGTTAAAAACTTGCTAGTCTTTGCTTCGTGGATCACCAGTTTACCTTTCAGAGTTCTCTAAAGTACCAACTCAATGAAGTCTAGATAGTCTGGTATGTTACATTTTAAACCACAAGAGAGAGCTGTTGTGC